CAAGGACATTACGAGGCAAATGGGAGCGGAAAAGCTGAAAAAGTTAAAGGAAAGCAAAGTTGGTACTTGCCAAAGCCACTTGGCGACTCGCCGAGTGGACCTTCAGCTCGCCTAAAGATCCAGCATGCCAGCCCATGGACAAAACCAACTTGGCGGTCAAACAAGCAATTCGGCGACACGTCGAAGATATCGATGACACTGATTTAGCTCGCCAATGTTACAGAAAGAGGTGGTGAAAAACCACGCCAAAAAGGTGAGAAGAGGAGCACACGGTGAATCGCCGACCATTTCGGCAATGTCGACTCACTTCGCCGAAAGTTACAGAATAAATGGGTGAAAAGACACGCCAAAAAGGTAATAAGAGGAGCACTCAGTGTATCGCCGAACAGTTCGACAAGCCCGACTTACTTCATCGAGTGGACTCCGCGCTGAATTTCTGAGAATGTATATAAATGTAATTTTCAAAAGAAGAGAAAGAGTACTGAAAAGTTCCCACATTGTTTACTTCTGGGTTTTGGATCTTTTACATTTTAGAACATTGTTTTGACATTTTTTAGCAAGGATTTAAATATTGTAAGATTTTTAGCTTTAATTTGAGCATTTGGAGACTTGTGGATCGTTGTCAAATCTGATGAAAAACTTCGTTGGTAACGATTTCTTGTTCTTTACTATGTTTGGCTTAAACCCCCATTCTTGGGGGTGTGATTATGTTGTTGAATGCGTTAATTAGCTAATGAGTGTTGTTAGTTACTGATTTTATTGTTAATTTTAAGTGGGTTCGATTAATTGTTCATGTTTTAATTGAGGAATTGTAGTTGCAAATGCAATTGCAGCTTATAACTCGATACTTTCTTGAGAAAGAGGTGTTAGAGTCGAACTATTAGTTGATGACTGTTTTGATTGCATTGTTACAAATCTAGCTTGAGAAAGTGAGTTTGACTGCAATCTTGCAAATCTAGCTTGAAAAGGTGGATTGATTAAGGTAATGGGCTGTTCAATTGTGTTTCACTTGTTGAGGTTCGAAAGAACTCACTTGAATCGCAATAGTTGATTGAGAAATGACTATTGCACTCAAAACCTAGCCTACCCACTGATATTCAACATCTACGAGTAACTCGTAATCACCCATTATACGAAATTAGCATTCAACTTATCACACTCCCAAGAAACCTTCTCTCCTTGTTTACTTCCGGTTCTTAGTAGTCATAATTTGGTTACCAGAATCCCCCCATTTGATATTAACTCTCTAAACTTTGTGATTTACTTTGATGTTGCGAAACTTCTTGTCACGACCCGATTTCTCGAGTCATGATGACACCTACTATACCCTACCAATAGGTAAGCCAACCCGAAACCCAGAACATTAAGCAATGAGCGAAAGGGCAGAAACTAACGATAACAATAATCTAAACAAGAATAACAAGGCGGAAGCAACCCAAAATAAATATATACAGAAATCTCTCCCAGAACCTGGAAGTCACTAGTACAGAGCTATCTAATAAAAAGTACAAGTCCCAAAAGTGGACCACAACAGAACGTGTCTCAAAGGCAACAAGACTACCTAAAACAAAAGAAGGAGACAGAACAAACCCTAAAACGCCAAGTGCTCGCCCTCGTCTCCAAATCACAACTGCAAAAGAAGGCTGGAACTAATCACCGCTGGTAACTGGTACTGGACCTGCATTACGAAATAGATGCAGAGTGTAGCATGCGTACCAACACAATAGGTACTCAGCAGGCATCATAGGCAGACTGAGAAAAAAGGGTAAAAACAATAAGAAAGAATAGAATCTAGACACAGAGGTCAAACCAGATAAGAAAAGAAAGCACACGAGTATACCAGAAACAAACTAAGTACAGCTAAACTAAACCTAACTGGACCCCCATATGCCCAGAAGGTACACTCGTGCGCAAACTCAAATAAACCCTGAACGAACCCCCATAAGCCCGACAGGTACACAGAAAAGCTAAGTCTACTGAGAAAGAAGAAAATCAGGCTCCCAGCCCAAAGTAACTAAGATAATTCATCAGACTCCACCCAGCCAGCAGTGCACTCCCAACCTAGCTAGAAAGAGTGACCCTAGGGGGAACCCAACCAAACAGTCCACTCTCAGCCCAGCTAAAAAGAGGGACCCGTGAGTGAGGTAGATAACACGAGTCGTCCTACCATGCAGTCAGCTCCAAGCCCAGCTAGAAAGAGCGACCCGGGGAAACCCAGCCAGCAGCACACTCCCAGCCTAGCTAGAAAGAGAGGCCCAGAGGCGATCGCCGATATCACCGAGTCTACCCAGCCAGCGATACGTTCCCAGCCCAGTTAGAAAGAACGACCCCGGGGGTGATGGTATCTCCAATAGGATTCAATCCAACAACAACCACCGTGGAACGTCGTCCACTCTAAGACATCACAGAAAAGGCTCCAAACCTATACTATCTCAATCCCACGCCTCGAGTGATGCACCAAACCTTCGAGAATGCGTCGAAATCACAGAATGAGAGGGAGAAGATACAGAAGTGCAGCAAGTAGCGATAACACCTAATCTAAGACTCAAACTATCAGACTCAAGTCTGCTATTCCAGTCTTCAAGGAGCTAAGTCATTCGAACGACGTCGACAACAAGTCAAGGCTATCCAGCCCACACGGTCATAAGTCTAAGGCAATGCTAGCCTAACCTAGACTAAGGACATCATACTTACGGTTAAGGATGAACAAGGCATACAATACATAGCATACAAGCATACAATAACATTTAGCACATAAGCACACAACTCTACTAAGCCGGTTAACATGATACTATACCCGAAATGTGGCCAATTGATCCTAACATGAGGTATCTAATCAAAGTAAGGTAGTAAACTGGTACCCACCCCCAATTCACTCCAATTGACATGTTTTTACACAATTAAGCTCAATCTAAAAGAAAGGAAGCCGTAGCCTACCTTAAGGCCGATCGCGCGCTCTCCAAATCACTTTACCGGAGCTTTCCCTTCCCGAACGACCTTTGAACGCTGTCACTCTATCAAATATAGGGTCGCAACATTAGTACGGTCGTTTAGACACCAAAATCACAACAAACGGAGACGGGTCAATTTTGGAGTCAAAACGGGAATCATGGGACCCGCACCGAACTGTCCGAATTTGACTCCGTCAAGAGACCCTAAACAACACCCCAAACTTATGTTCCAAAATGGAACACAATTCGAGGCTCAAAAACATAGCAAAAACCAACAAGCAAGAAACCACACTTTAATCACTAAAAAAAAAAAAAGCAGCAGCAGTCCAAACTCGGAATAAACGAAAATTGAAAGGTGCCCAACACTCTTTGAACACTCTACGACGAAGTCTCGACAATTCTCAACACGTGGGACTTCGAATCACCCAAAATCGAGCTAAAATGAGAGAGATATGACCAAATCAAGAATGCTAAAAACAAAGTCTCGAAAAAGGGTACAACAGTCAGGTAAATTGCGAAATTACCTCGAAATACGCGCACCCAACAACTTCCGAACACTCTACAGCAAAGCCACCAAAAAAACGAAGCTCCCGCACTTTGAATCACCTAATTCGGATAAAAGATGAGAGAGTTATGAGAGTTTGAAGGTTTGGAAAAGGTTGCTGTTTTTCTGCATTAAATAGCAGATTTGCTGCAATTTTTTTCCAAAACTAAAAACTCCGACGGGGTGCTCCGAACTCGTTCGGAACCCCGTGCACGTAAACGAGATATGAAACCATACCAAATTTGATATTCCGAACTCAACGGCATAGTCGAAATTTCCAACAAAGATCATCTCGATAAAAAGTGGGTCCCACTTTCAAAGGTCATTTTAAGTCAAAACCCACAAAAGGGCTCGGAAAGATATCGAAAATCTCGGGACACAAAAGAAGGGTCAATCTAGACCAAACTCGACATTCCGGAACTAACCGCGTTGACGAAATTCTCATCCGAGCGCGTTTACTCAGAATATTGACCAAAGTCAAACTTAGGCTTAAACTTAAAGTTAAAACGCCTAATTGCACCGACTCACACTGAAAACCTCGGGAGTCATGTCGACCATGCTACTAGCCTAAAATGACCCTTCCGGAGCTGATGAAATCGTCAGAATTGGATTCCGATGTCATCTTCTTGAACTTTTGATCGAAAATGATCGTTCGAAGTTCATAAGCTCCAAAACACAAAAACTCGCACCAAGACCAAACGAACGACCAGGTGACCGAACTGTCAGTCCCAGCAAGTCATAAATGACTTGGGGTCGCTACAGGAACGATCTAAACGACACACAGAAGGCAAGACACAGAAATGACCTGGAGGGTCATTACACTTCTACCTCTACAAACGATTAGGACACAATTTTACTTCTTAAATGAATTCTCTACTGTATCACTCCCTGTGGGATCGACCCCAACTCTTAGTTGCGTTTATACTTGTTAACGACCGCCTACACTTAGAATTGGATGAAGTGTAGTTGAGCTTTATCACTTATCTCTCCCACACCTTCTCGAGCTTGTACAACTTCTTATATCCGCCTTTATCCCCTAGTTCCACATACATGCGTTCGAAAATTGTCGTCTTGATCGTTGTAACCAGTAACTTAACCTCATTTTTGTCACCTTATACTTTTCCTTATTCGTCTACTTCTCCTCCTTATCCTTGCACTCCACCAATTGTATATAAGCAATCTTCTTTGCTTCCACTTTTCCTTGAACTTCTCCATTCCACCGTCAATCTCCTCTCCTCGATAAACACTAAAATTACCTCTCAAAATCCCTAGCACCATTTTAGTTGCTTCTTGCTATATGTATCCCCACTACTCCTTCAAGCCGCCATAACCATTTGTCCGTCCCCCCCCCTCCCCCCCACACTCCGCAGTGGGCTGGGCCCATCCTAACTCCCTTTTTGATTTGCTTGCCATGTTGAGTCCCACGGAAATATTTTATTGATTTCGAAAGATAATTCATAAGGGTCATAACATTTCATTTCAATAATATCAAAGTAAAATCAAAAGATGTAATTTATCACGATTGCAAACTTCCAGTTGTTGAGATCTACCATTAAATGAAACCTAAATCATTTCCTAATCTATGGTTAAATTACTCCCCAATATAATTCAATACAGACAAACAATAATTGAGTTAGCACAACAGCTGTGAAGCTTAAATTACAGCAAACAATTTTCAATAAGTCTCAATATTATCTTAACAGTTTCTAATTCCAATAGATTCTTCCAATATCTTTCTGCCTTTTAGTCTTCTTCATCAGCAACACAAGCTGCACGAGAGACACAGTTATCAGATAACAAAGACTCGTCAACAAGAAATATAGTCACAAATGCAGCAGCACAATATTAATATGCATATGGGAAATAATTGCTTTTAATGTAAGAATGATAAAAACAACGAAAAATGCTACTATAATAGGCAGAAAACAGTTATAAGATTTACGATTTAAGATATATCTTAGCTCATATAAATTGTTTGATATTTTATTATACAAACGTTTACAGCATAAAGTATAAAATATCATTTCGTAAGATGATAAAACTGACAAAAAGGCAGAGATAGGGAGAGATTAAGATTAAGCCATTTCAGGAATTCCACCCTGAAAAGCTAAACACAAATCGCCTTTCGTTGTTATCTAAAAGTTCAGAAAACCAGACACTCCCTCTGATAAAATCATTTATCTTGAACAAGAAAAGTAGATTTTCTGCCACAGATGCTAAAAGCAGGAATTCCATCCAATTGAGAGGAACTGATCTCAATAAGCGAAACACTCGAGAAAGAGAGATAAATGCACGTAGAAACTTCTGAAAGAAAAAAAAAAAGGTAAACGGTACAATGTTAAATAAGGCTTAGGATTCCTGCTCAACAGTTTCAGGACATGATCTCGTAGCAGCCCACTATTACTGTTAAGAATAAAGAAAAAATATCTAATAACCTATATCACTGCATTCTTTAAACCATTGACATGCTAAAAGATACGACACATACACAAAATCGAGGTGAGTTTGCACTAATTGAATAATTTTAAACTAATAACCCTTTGTCTAGATATTCTGAAAGAAGATAATAGAGAACCAGAAAGAAGAGAACATGTACACGTAGAGATGCCTACAAAAGGATTGTGAGGAAAAATCCTTGAAGTACCATAAGTCGAGCACCCAGCCAGGGACAACATGACACATAACATAAGTAAAATATATGAACAAACAAGAAACAAGTATGCTTGTTCTTTATACCACATGCAGTGAACATGGATTGTTACCACGGATAAGGACGATACTGTATTCGAAAACATTCAACCAGACTTTAGCCCGTACACTTCAAGAACATACAATATTACTTTGGTGCTAAAACTTAAAATAGAACTAAATATTTCCAGAAAGTTTGATTATAACGCAATCGAGAAAAATCTCAAGAGAAGCTACTCACTGCCTCAGCAGCTTCCTTCTATATCCCTCCCTCCCCCCCGGCCCCCTCAGAGGGCAACTATCTCTAGTGTCAGCTCCACTCTCCACTTCTACTAAACATGCCACCCTCCCTGTACCTGAAGCCACCCCTGTAGACTCTCATTACCACATTTTATTTCTTCTCATCCTCCTACATGACCTAATTCAATGGCACTCGCACAGCTCGCCTGTGGTCCATACTACCCCCCTTATCCCATGAAGCACCCAAAAGCCTGCTGCAACTGCTAATGCTTCTCTAATCAGTTTTGGCACATCCTAGTTATCATTGGAGAACACCTATAGCATGTATTTACAGTAACAGACCAAAGTTGTTGCACAAGCAAGTTCAGTTGGAGACGATGTTAGTCGACCTTACAGACAGCATGGAAGGCTGCAAGTTGGATTTGCCTGTTGCGTTCTTTTTTTCCTTTATACTGTGATGCTAATATGAAGACATTTTGAAGTTGATTCTTTGTTTAACTTTAAAAGAAATTGGCAAAAATTTGAAGTTCTTTTTCAATTCATTACTTTTACAAATTATGTTAAGAATATATCTAATTAATTTTTTAAAAAATATTTTTATGACTTTAACAGTTATTTAAATTGAACAAAAATTTATTTAACCATCTTAGAAATTTATTAAACTCTAAGAATTTAAAGAAAATATAAACATTTTTACCCTATCTATAAATAACAAATTAAAGTTATCATAACAACCAGAAGATAGCAGAACACAAAGAGTAATAAAGTAGGGATAAGACACAAGTACCCCTAGACTATGACCGAAATCTCAGAGACACACCTTAACTAAACTAAGGTCCTATTACCCCGTGAACTTTTTTTTTTTTTTGTAATTTTGTACACCTTTTGTCTTACGTGGCACACTCCATGACTCCACGCAATTGAGGCGCATGGGAGATATTTGAATGTCACGTAAGCCAAAAAGGTGCACAAAATTACAAAAAAAAAAATGGGTTCAGGGGGTAATAGGACCTTAGTTTTAGTTAAGGTGTGTTTCTGGGATTTCGGTCATAGTCTAGGGGGGTACTTGTACATTTTCCCAATAAAGTAAACTAAACTACTACAAATTATGAATGAAGAAGAGAGTCTAAATTAAGCTAGAAATTTCAAACTATACGCAAAAAAGTTTCAACAAAAACTAACTTAGGATTAATTAAGAAACTATAAGTAATTTCAACAAATATACTTGCATGTATAAGTAAATGTAATGAAAGCGAGTAACACAATTCACTTTATTGAAAGATCCAATTTTGAAGTTAAAAGACTTCAGAATACGCTCTTTTGGAATTGAGTAAGAAAACAAATTTGAAATAAAATAGATAGATGTATAAAACTAAACAAGGTTAGATGTGGAGAAGTTGTTGAGGGTGAATATTGGTTACTGTTTGCACATCCAACTGCAATCACACAGATTAAAAATCATAACTGAGGGGAGGGGGCTACAGAGTTACCACCACATGTTGAATTCAACACTAGCTCTTTGTTAAGTAATGATTCACATGACCATGCTTTGTCAAGAGGATTAACTAGAAAAAAATATGTACGTAATTTTGCTTTTTAAACATTTAAATAAACTAAAATAATAAAAAAAAAATTCAACCAAGTGGATTCATGTGAACCCTCTTGGGGACACATGCTCCTAAACAGATCCTTTACATCGTCAATCACCAGTATCATCAAAACAAGACTAAAACTGATTGTAAAACTCTCAATTAGATCATGTCCCTCACACTTCATCACTTTTGATCTTAAATCCACCAGAAAGTTCCCCACTGTAGAGCACAACAAATAATCACGTTGACATCAACGTATTTGAATAGAACCACCAAAACTATATCAAATTTTGAATAAAAACCCTGCCACTTAAACAGCATGATCATTGCTGGAGCTCCAAAGAGAAGGAAACAAAAACTGGGATCATATTTTCCAACTTAGGTTTGCGCTATAAGTTCTAGCAAAAGCTAATATAATTTCGTGATGAATTTTGTTTCTTTACAGTGTCAATCCTAATAATATTACTTATTCTAGTTTGATAATTTGCAGTGTCTCCCTTTTGTCTGTGTTTCAATGATATACTCCTTGCTCATTCTGTACTAAGAATTTGGTTTTCCTGGAAAGAACTTCCTACAGTAGCTCTACATAATTTGAGCTCAATGATAAATGAGCTTATAAAGTACAAAACTTGTGCCTCTAGAGATAGTATATGGTCGTTCGTTCATCTATTTCAACTTGCTGTTGAAAGGTTAAACAGGATCCTACTGCAGCTTTTGCAACTTTAATTCTTATTTCTGATTATGTGAACATTGATTTGTATGCTACAAGTGGAACTCACACCACATAGAACAAATATAAGTTAAAGCAATGTCTAGCAGCAGGTATATGCCCTATTCTTTGGAAATCAACTACACGTAAATGCAAACAAATATACATTATTTACTTTTCTTTTGTACATGTATTATAAAGCTTCATGAATAGCACTTGTAAAGGTGGGCCTCTTGACTCAGTATATTGAGCCACAACCATACAAGGTTGATTTCTAGTCCAGAATGATGCTCTTCCCTTGAGTGAAGGACTTTACCACATTTTGAACTGAAAGCTTATACGACTTAACTTAAGCAAATGAGGCCCTTGTAAAGTATACAATATCACAGAGTGCCAATGTATGCTTAACACTGGAAGTGGAGAAGATTTATAGATTTGAACGAGAGGAAGGTCAAGAAATGAAGGATGAACCCAGCCAAAATAAACAATAGTATCTTTAGATAAAATTGACTTGGATTTACTTCCCTGCTTTCTGAGTATATGGTTCTAACTCAAAATTGTGTAGTACTTGCTTAGCTTACTTGAAACATCCCCATTTTCTTAGACCAGGTGAGCTTTTCACCTTGTTTAGAGAAAAAAACACGTCTAATTAGGCGTGAGAAATCTTCCATGGACAGGTTTACTAGACCCGCTCACTACAACGATGCAATGGGGATGGAAATGGGGAAACTATCCGGGAATAATAATAATGCAGAGAGGATCCATGTGGGAATAACCTCTTCCTATTTGATTGCATAAGTACGTTCCTAAGTGCCTCTCAGAAACTGTTACAGCCTCAAATCTATTTCCTGCTTTACTTTGTTGGTACAACATATATGCCTTAATCTAAGAGAAGTTTATTTTAGCAGCCCACCAGATAACTCCTCAAATCAAATGAATTGGTACCCAGATTGAAATCATCTCAAGTTCTCTTGTACAATCAATTTTAAATATGGGTAATTGAAAAATGTTATATAGAGATGTCTGGTAACCGAAAGCAAAATCCCTATGAATCACAAAGAGAAAAAAAGAAATCATATTATTGGTTATTACCTCCACAGCAGAAACAACAGTAGCAGCAAGAAAGGATCATGAGGAATTCTCTACAAAACAGCTCAAATTTTTCTCGTCCACCGTTATTAGAACTGCTGGTTGGCTCATCCAAAAGCTTCTGATCGTTGTCACGTTGCTTCTGACTGTTCATTCTATGGAGATTCCATTCAAGATTCTTCAAGTAACCCAATTTGAAAGAATCCCTTAATCTCAAAGATGGCCATAGATGCATCTCTCTTTCTATCTTCGGCTTCTCTATCACAATAAAGCTGGGAGCTATCTTCGGCTTCTCTAAAATTAGCTCTTAATATTGTGACATTTGCCTAAAATTTCCAATATTTAAACACAAAAAATAAAATAACAAAGTGACATATTCTAAGAAATAGGAAAAGAAAATAGTACATTTAGGGTGTGTTTGGTACGAAAGAAAATGTTTTCCTAAAAAATATTTTCCTGAAAAACAAGTAAATTTTTGACTTATTTTCTCATATTTGATTGGTGAGCAAAAAATATTTTTCGGAAAAGATTTTTTAGTGTTTGATTTATGAATGAAAATTATTTTTGAGAAAATATCTTTTTTTTTTACTAGAGAGTATAAAAATTTTTTTGAATTGAAATTGATTTTTTTTTTTTTAAATAAACTTAATTTTTTTTGGGGGTGCGGGGGTGGGGTGGGGCTGGCGAGGGGGGAAGGGGGTAGGGGTGAGATGGGGTGAAAAAATAAAAATTTGAAATTGGAAATATTTTTTAAAAAATTTGGGGGAGGGAGGGGGCTCGGGGTAGGAGTGGGGTGGGGGTGAAAAAATAAAAATTGAAAATTGGAAATATTTTTTAAAAATAAACTTATTTTTGGGAGGGGCTAGTAGTGGGGCTGGCGGGGGAGGGGGTCAGGGTAGGGGTGAAAAACAAATTTATTTATTTTTGGGGGAGGGGAGGGGTATGGGGCTGGCTGGAGGGGGGAGGGGGAGGGGTGAAGGTGGGTAAAAAATAAAAAAATTGAAGTTGAAAAATGTTTTTTAAAAATAAGCTTTAAATTTATTTTTTCAACAAAAATATTGTAATTTGAAGTTGGAGGAAAGTTTTGAAAAATGTTTTCCTTAAGTTTTGAAGGGAAGTCATTTTTCTTAAATTTGAGAAAAATAAGTTGATTTGGAAAACATTTTACCCAACCAAACATGAGAAAATTGGAAAACATTTTTCGAAAAATATTTTCCTTCATACCAAACACACCTTTAATATTATGGATAATGCATAAGTAGCCCCTAGACTATGACCGAAATCACAGATGCACGCCTAAACTTAACTAGAGTCCTATTACCCCTTCTAAACTAATTTAAAATAGAATAAATACAACACAAACACTGACATGTCATAGAGAGTGTGCACAATCTCTTTAAGACAAGTGATGAGTGCACAAATTGAACACATGTCATTTTTTTATTAGTAAATTTATAATTAGTTAGTACACATCTTTATTGATAATAAAACTTATATATATTTAATTATTTTTATTTCTTTCTTTGTAAAATATTTTTTTTTTACTTTAATTTTTTAAATTAATTTATTACCTTTTCACTTTTTATTATTTTAAATAAATTATGTGTATTTTAAAAAAAAAACAATTTAAAAGTGTCCTTTAATTTTAATGTTTTAATATTTTTATGTTTTATTTGTCCCATTTTCTTCACTAATTTTGATATCCGTTCAAAATTAACTTATTTTAAATACAAGACATTTGAAATCAAATCAAAACGAAAGACAAAGAAAATAAACTCAATAGAAAAATAAAAGAGAAAAAACAATGAATGTAAGTAAGAAAAAATAGTTTTGATCAAGGTAAAAAAATGTGTATTAACTTAATTTAAATACAAGATAAAAAATAAGAATTTTTTTTTAAAAAAAAAATTAAGAATTTTTTTTAAATTATTATTTTTTAAATAATTTTTAATTAAAAATATATTTACACACATAGCGGGCGAGTGTGTACAAACACAACCAACTTGGGTGGTTGAAGGTGCCACATCATCACAAAAGGTGCACAAAAATACGAAAAAAATGAGTCCGGGGGTAATAAGATCTTAGTTAAGTTTAGGTGTGTTTCTGAAATTTCGATCATAGTCTAGGGGGGATACTTATGCCTTATCCCTTTAATATTATTCCTAAATAACACTTTTATTTCAAATATAATCATAACAATCTTTGAGTTCATTATGTAATGACTCTTAATTATGTTTAATGAATAAGTCCTTTATTATTATTTTTTTAAAAAAAAACTTCCAATCCACTAAGAAAAATAATCACAACATTTCATCAAACATGAACCTTTTTAAGTAGAGAAAATGGTCAAAAGGCCACTCAATCTATATTCTGATTTCCAACTAAACACTTCAATTTCATAAGGGTCCTATCACCCCTTCGAAGTGTTTCAAACTAAAATTATTATCACCTTAAATGCATAGCTGGTAAAGTGAGTGTATCTCACTCTCTTTGAGAGAGTGAACTCCAAAAGTAAATATTAAAATTTTATTTTGGATATCTTTTTAAAAAAATATATGTATTTTTAATAATAATAATTATTATTATTATAATAATAACAAAACTCACCAACTCTAAACCATTACCACCATTGTCATCTTCACCAAATTCACCATTCTTGATTCAAGAAAAAAATTTAAATTCTCTATTAAACAAAGCAAAACCTTACCAGCCCTTGACATATGAACAAGAAAACCTGTCCTTAACGGGATGGTTTGCAAGATCAATCTAATAAACTATTGATAAATTGATATGAGTATACATTTGTATCACCCCAAAAAGCTTTGAATCTAATTGAAAAAAAAATTGATCTGAATTTAAATCAAATTCATTTGAACATCCAAAAAAATGATATTTTTTTTACTAATAGACCCTTTAATTATCAATCTCAAATTTCAATCAGTCAACTACACCTCAGACGTATTCCCAATCTTATTAATTGTTCAATCGCCGGTGAATCAACCTTTTTCTCTTCAAAATTGTCGTCGGCATCGACATGATAATGATGTGGAACGCCGACTCCTCTTCATCTTCTCTAAGAGAATAGTGCCCATATCCAACGATCTCCATTAATGGTAACATCACTTTCTCTATTCATCCCCTCTCTTTCCTTCTTTCTCACTTTTTTTACTTTGTTTTTCAGATCTATCGACGGGCAAAGCTTCTTAACAAGTCTCACCATCATTATTCACCCCTCTTCCTCACAAGTGCAACTCCAAGATATTTGGGTTTTATAATAATGGTGAAAATGGGTATGCTGAAGATATAGGAGAAAAGAATAAAGAATAATAAAAAAAGTTGAAAAAAATAAAATTTAATGAAATTTTCAAGTGTCAAGCGCGTGATATTCACATGTCTAACATAGATGTGGTTATGACTTTTTAGGGGTGTAATAATTTCAATTTTAAATACTTCAGGGGAGTGATAGGACCCCCGTAAAATTGAAGTGTGTAGTTGAAAATTCGAATATAGATTGAAGGGACTTTTGGCCATTTTCTCTTTTAAGTATAATTATAATAATTTTTTTTTATCTCCTTACAAAAATCATCACAATATTTCACCAAATAAAATTCTTTTTAATGAACTTGAATTTAAAATTTGACAAACTAAAATTTCAATACGGTCCAATCTCATCATCATTGCTCAATCCACGATGTATAAAACAAATCCCTACAAGCAAATACATAATCCTCACTAGGCATCATCTCAGTACCATTCCTCAGCCCATTTGCGATTTTTAGGGTTATTCTCTTCAGTAACATCTCACAATTTAACATGCTGCATGTCCCTTTTGCTACAAATTTGACTGTGCCCAACCAATAGTAGATTAAGAAATTTTCACTCATGGGGTTTGATTTTTTAGGATGGTTTGACTTTTTTGAGATTAGATCTACTATATATATATATATATAAAATGAAAGATTGAGCTAGGCTAGTGGTTGTTCCTAAAATTAAATGGAAAAAATAACATAAGCTAAAAACAAAATGCTCACGATCAGGTTTGAACTTTGAATGGGCCAATTTGAAAGGCACTTACCATTGTAAAATATTTCTTTTCATGGGGTTCAACATTAATATATATATATATATATATATATAGGGCCGTCTTAACCCCTAGGCCACTAAAGCCATCGCTTGGGGCCCCATATATTTTTGGGCCCCTATTTTTAAAAAATAATTACTTATATATTTTATTTTAGAAAAAAATTATATGTACTATGAATTTTATGATTTCTACTAAGAAAATTGCATATGAGATGAAAATAAACCTGAATTTCGTAAGAAACACTTTGATGAAAATATGGATAGCGAAATCACAAATTCCCTTGAAGAATCTTTTAGAGTTAATTGCTTTATATATGTAGAGTAGATCAAGCTATTTTTTCACTTCAAAATATATTTGAGCCAACTGAAGCATATGGAAATATTATTGATTTCTTATTTAGTGGTAAAATATTGAGATCACTAGATGCTGAGAATTTTTTTAAAAAATATTGTCTTAACCTTGAACTTTCTTTAACACATAATAGTTATTCTGATATTGATGGTTTAGATTTATTTTTTAAATTAAAAGTGTTAAGGGAAATAATACAAGTAGAAGATAATGATCTAATGAAAATACCCTATCAAACAAAAAGACTTGATTCTTTTCCAAATACACATATTGCTTATAGAATAATGTTAACAGTTCCTGTAACTGTTGCCCCAGCCGAAAGAAGTTTTTTCAAAATTAAAATTGATTAAATCTTCTTTAAGATCAACAATGTCTCACGAGAGATTGAATGAATTAGCTATATTATCATTTGAAAAGTAATTATTAAAACAAATTGATTATAAAACAGTACCTAATGACTTCTCATCTAAAGTAGCTAGAAAAATAGATTTTAAATAAAAATATATATAATGAAAAAAAATAAATATTAGGGCCCCTCTCTTAAGTTTGGCTTTAGGCCTCCAATGTTGTTGAGTTGGCCCTATATATATATATAAACATAAAATTTACCTTATATATACAATGTAATTTTTTGTCGAAGGGGATCGTCCCACCCGTAGATCCCCCAGTGCCCAACATTCAATACCAAAAAATGTGCTAAAAAATGTCCACAGTAACACCAATATCCTACGAATTGCTCAAAACACATGACAACCTTTTTGATCAGCCGTGGGTTTTGGGTGTCTATGACCGGGATGGAGTAGATGTCATGTATTTCTACTAAGCGACGAGTCGCTTATTAGAAATATAGGTTATCTACTCCACCCCAGTCATAGACCTCGAAAATTTGTGACAGATTAAA